CTAGTAGTGTCCTTGCTCTTAGTAGCGATGCCAGGAGCCCCTAGTAGCGTCCATAGTGTCCTTGCTCCTAGTAGAACGCACAGCACTATGAGAGATCTATGATCTATACGTTTCTTACGCACAGCACTTGCTCCCCTGGCTGCAACACGTCCCGTTCCCTTTGTTTGTCCGCATAGGCAACGACACTGAATTCCGGTGGAAGCTCTTGAATGGGCATAGCCTTCCATCAGAACTGTAGGCTTGCGGCCTCTCAGTTGGACCTTCCAAATTCCCAAAGGGTGAACACTTTGCTCACAGTACACAGCACAAACAACAGAACATGTCCAGCAGTGCTTGTCATGCTTCCGTTTTCTTAGTTTCTTTGCCCTTTAGGAGGAGATGAACCCACCAGGAAGATGACATTAAGCATTCCAGAAACTCAGATATATAAGTGAGATCAAGCACTACTGTTACTTTTGCTTTAGCTAGATCATGCTAGATCACTGACAGAAAAAGCCTTCTTTTTTGGCATTGAGGCAGGTCCTAGCAGTCTCACATCCATTTCAAAAGCTTCATTGACCTTCCCAAGTTTCGTGGTTCTTCAACGACACAAAGTATGTTTGACCTCCCTTTTTATTGAACAGAGAGAACCATTCTATTTTCTGATCTCTTTTGTGTCAGCGCAATCAAATAAAGTCATCGAATCAGTCAGGAGAGCGATCCGGAGGAGCAGTGCCCTGACAAGGCGGCCAGGGTTGGGTATTCCCAGAGCCCCTAGAGACCCGTCTCTTGCGCGCTACTTCCGCAGGCGAAGTTTGGCACGTGTTCCTATGGTCCTCAGCAGCTCGGATGACAGGGATGCGCTGGACTGAACTTGTTGCAACACCCCTTCATACTAGAAATGGCCGTGGGATGCCGTGGGTCCTAACATGTCCTAACTACCTGTTGTAACCAGTGACTCAGTAGCAACAATGCTTTCTGGCACGCTAGATTGGACTAACTGCTTGTGGTTGTTGACATGGCTGTGCGACAGCTAAGGTGTGGCTTTTGCTTCAGATAAGCCGGCAAGGCCTTGGCCCTGAGAAGCTCCAGAGTTTAGACAGTGGCAGAGCAAAGGTCTCTTCGACTGTGGGACAAGTGGCAGAAGAATGCTAGCAAAAGAAGATTGGTCTTGTTGGAGTGCCGGCCAGTGTGGGGTGGTGCTAAAATTGGTGACATTTCCATAGTTCAAGTAGCCGCGGAAAGTCACCAAAAGATTGCAAGCGGTTGCTACCAAGACTCTCGGCCAGTTGCACTTCGAGAAAGCTTCAACATCGCCGTGTTGTGTGCATCAGCCCACTGGCTCAAACATGGGCAAGAATCATCAAGAATCTGGACTTGTCAATGAATCCTCAAAGGAAGCTGGCAATGCCCAGCTTGAATACTGCCAGTGACTGCTACAGCTTCTCCGAACCTTTCGAACCAAAACAAACCTCTTGAGCTCCTAAACACTTGGCTTCTGCGTACTTTGATTTCTGAAGACATCTATATAAGTCTATATAGTTGACTATAGAGTGCCCCTTTTCCTTCATGCTAAAGTGCAAATCCATGCAAATCCCCAAAAGCTCTCCTGGCCTTCCAAGCTCCGCTCTAAGCTTAGCACGGTGAAACGAAACAGGTCGCTGCGGGTCACCCCATCTCCCCCACCTCTCGTGGGCCACGGTGCGCCGCCGCGTCGGCCGCCACGGGGACGGAGATCCGGTGGCCGGTCCGGGCCCCAGGAGCCATGGCAAGAATGCTCCGTTTGTAGCGATGCCAGGAGCCCCTAGTAGCGTAAGGCCAGGAGCCCCTAGTAGCTTCTTGTTACTGGCCTCCAACCTAATGGATGGCCTCCAACCCAGTTGCGATGGCCGAAGTCGTGGATTCGTGTTTCGTTCGATATGCCGCTTTGCACTGAAGGTCTCCCTTCAGAGAAGTTTTCCGTGGGATTGTTAGGAGTTGTGGACACTGAATCAACTTGGGTAGACGTGACAAAGGTATCATTAGCGGACGTCTCAGCCTCTCTCTCTCTCTCTCTAAGACATGCAAGTTGCACCAGTGCCTGCAAGCTGAGGTTTGTCTCTCGTGCTGCCAGGGCATGACGAGTGAGGTGCTCTCTTGGCATTTTTCAGCTTTGAGGTTGGCCTTTCATACCTAAAGGGATAGGTAAAGTCATAAATTGTTACAGCATGGTAAAGAATGTCGGGCACACGTATCAACTCTTCACAGAGTCCCATGGCAGAGCACAGAGCTGTAAATGAGCTGTTTGCAACCCTCAGAGCTGTTTCCATCACTCCAGATTCGTGGTACATCAGGTTGCCCCCTGCATGCCGTTCAATTGGTTCCGGAGGGCATCAGGCCATGCGCTGTTGCAACAGTCAGAGAAGCCCTGGAAAGATCCTGGAGCCATTGCCATACTTGGAGATGTTGCTAAAGGAGTTGGGTGCTGTGTGACACTGTGTGGTCTGAGAAAGCCAGTAGAATAGAGCCTTTTTGGCAAGCTGTTGCAGGTTGGTCTGGAAGTGGAGGAGGCACCAGTGGGCTGGTTGGATGCTTTGGATTGTAACACATACAGCCAGCATTTTGAAATCAACAACACTACCGATGCTTCGTTGTTGTCCCACCCTTGTGCCTTGTGCGATCTTGCGTGATTACCAGACTTCTTAGGACCCATCAGAGTAATCTGAGTTGTTGAAGGGATCACATGATGATGTTCCATGTGGCAGTTTGCAGTTTGTGATGACGCGCCACCCGAGATGACATTGACTTCAAAGGACATGAAACGTTTTGACTGAATTCTACTGGTGGAAAGCCTTCGTTTTGACGAATTTTTGCACACATGGTGTGCACTCCCTTCTCGCGCCGTGGCGGTGCGAGACCGATGTCCCTTGGGGAGGTCTGATGACCGGTGAAGGTGGGGGATGGTGGGGGCGCGGAGAACATGGGGAGACTGGAGATTCCCGCCCTCGACTTGGCACATTGAGTACATGCAGTCATTTCGTTTTTGTGTTCACAAGACTTGTAAAGATGTGTCCACTTGGGGTGCAAAGAGAAGCCATTGCCTGCATTGCGCTTGTTTCATGTGCTGTTCAAACATGTTCAAATGGTTCTTTCCGATTGCAGTTCCTTGAGCAGGGAAGATTCTGAATGTACTCGCGAGTGACGGTGGTGATGGTTTTTATAAACCTCACAAATAGCTCTGAAACCTGCCTGCAGCATCCTGCGGCCTTTTGTTCGGAATCAAGGAGGTATGAAGGTATGCGAGACTGCAGTAGGACCGGCCGTGCGCTTGCAAAGGCTTTCTTCCTTCAAATTCTTGTTTGTTTTTGACATCTCAAGGTTTGTTTTTGATCCCGGACTCTCCAGGTTTTTGAGCATCAGATCATCCAGCATCCCACAGGTGCTCAGAACCGGGCCAACGACATTTGCCACCGCCTTGAGGAGGCCATGTCGGACGTATCAAGTCGGTTAGATATTATATACAAGGCCTTTTTGGAGTGGGGTCTCAAGAAATGGCACCACCGCAAGTGCTGAGTGGGAGAAACACAATGAATGGAAGGAAAAGGAAGTAGCTGCCTGATTCATCTGATTCTCTCTTGATAAATGGCGGATGCAGCTCTGAAACCTGCTCAGAAAGATATGTGGGACACAAAAATCTCACTCGATTCTCTCATCGCTAAATTGTGGTCAGAAAAGGCCACCATACGTTCATTTCCTTGTGCTTCTTGAATGTACTTTGGATCAATTGCATGCTCGCATTCTTGAGTTATTTATTTTTCACCCTCATTAAATTGTAGGAGAGAATACTGAAATCTTATGAAATTTGTAAGATCGGATGTTAACATCGGTGCAAGACTATTAAGTGGCTGGGCTTATCGGAGAATTGCAGTTCTATTCAGTCACAACAGTTTGGCTTCTGGAAAAGGGAAAGTAGGTTAGGTCTCGTGGAAAAAACCTCTTGCAATCATCATGTAGAAGGCTTTGCATGGACATTGGTTCTACTTCGGGATCAATTCTTTTTGGATCATGGTTTCGAGGAAGACATGTATCGGACGCTGGCAAGAGAATGGTTGGTTGCTTGAAAGCAATGTCACATCCCTAAGCATTTCGGGAACTCATGGCCGGCTGATAGAGAAAAAACAACCCAACTTATGGTGAGCTATTCCAGGGCATGGCCAGCATAGCCCGGGCGATTCCAGGCTTTAGATTCCTTGGACCGGGTGGACACAGAGCACGCCGGCCTTTGCCTCGGTTGAACTAGATCAGCTCAGGGCGCAGAAGAAAGAATCGAAAGAAGTATGTGCATTTGTAAGAGAGATGGGGAGGAAGTGGGAGGAATATTATTTGCTGCAAATCCAAGTAGTCAATGTTTGGAAAGCTTCGACGTCTCTGCCAGATGCAGCCACCTTGAAGCGACTCTCCCAGGACCAGTGTGTGAATAGTTCGTAAGTCAATCTGGGCCACTGGTTTGGATGTTCCAGAAAGAAGCGTGGAGAAGCACATTAGTTCATCTTCAGCAGTTGAAGTGAGCACTGTGGCTCTTCACAGAACTGCAGGGCTGCAACTCGATGCACTTGCAACTTGACAGGATGTGAAAAAGCAGCTGCAAGCGTTGCTGGAGGCGTGAGAACTGTGGGTACTATTAGGTACTCATGTTTGGGATCCATGGTTCTCATTTGTGGCAGCCATAGCATGTCGCAACCTGCCACAGAATCGCCCTTGGTTCGCCGCCTACGCTTTCTCGAAAAACAGGCTTTGTGCAGTGATTGCAGTGCAGAAATCGATGACTGAGTAGAAGAGAACATCCTGCATGGTTCAGAATTTGTCACTCTGCAGAACATTGCGATAAAGAAGCTGTTTAAACTTAAAATCGAAGAAAGGTATGTTGTTTTGGGGATTTGACTTGGAGGTATCTTACTCACAATTGAGATCCTCATTAGACTCTGGCTTCAGCCTCCATGAAATGGTATCGACGTGTTTTTAGATCTGGATATCGATGTTTAAAGTTGAGGGCGCTTTTTCCATGACCCCCGTTGGGTCGAGTCGATGGTGTCAAGCACTCTCTTTTTCGTTTTCATGCTGCCAAATGGCTGCGCCGAGGTGTTGCAAGAGGCCGAGCGTGGTGCTGGAGGTTACAGTCTCAGCGGGGCATGGCAAAAGAGCCCACAGTGTTCCGGGTAGACCATGCTTGTAGAGCGTCAAAAGTGTCAAACAAATAGAACCTTCAACTGGTTGGGTTCGAGTCATGTTTGGTGTCACAATCCTGGCTAACCGACGCTTCGTCGATAAGTGCAAACAGTTTGAGAATGAGGTTCAAACCAGCAAGTGGGTTCGGCAGTTTGGGGCACTTCCACCTTCATAAGACCGGCATTTGACAGGTAAACATGTTATATAATGTTATATATGGGTACGTGGCCAAGCATCACTAATGCCCTGAGCCGAGGTGAGATGCAGATCTCGGTGGTCAAGGCATGGCTTGCTAAGGTGCCTTGAGCAGCGAGAGAGGCTGCGGAGTGTGATTTCGATGTGTGTGGCGCGTGATGGGGCGTGTGGCTCTCAGGGTCAGATACAGAGAATACATAGTAGCTTCTTGCTAATAGTAGCGATGGCCTCCAACCTACTTGCGATGGCCTCCACCTAATAGCGTCCTAATATTGCTTAAGAGACAGAGACTGGAAAATATTCCTTCATACATCCTCATACTCTATCATACTCTACCCCTATGATAGCTACCCTTGTGGGCCCATCAACTCGTCCATCAGACACCCGACCCAGTGCTGCTCCGCCAGTTCCTGGCCACGGATCTCCCAAAGCGTTTGGCACAGCACTTGATCCAATTGGAGTTTGAGGCAGGAAGTTGACTGCTGGCAATTTGTCGAACCTTTTTACAGCTTCTTACTGTCGGGGCAAGGCCTGCCAGCAAGGCTCCCTTTTGCCAGCATCTCCATGGCCAGGTGCGCAATGATGTCGTCACTGTGCAGACCTTAATTTGTCATGTAGAGCCTGGAACCCGAGTCGGCAAACTGCTTCGGTAGGACTGGAAGAAGTCAATGCCCCTCACCAAGGTCTTCAGTCACGTGGTGCGGATAGGAGCTCTTGCGGATGTCGAACTGATGAAAGAGTGCGCTGGGTGCTTTTGCTGTGGATTCATTACGTGGATCCGAACATTGTAACAAGTGCCGTTCCTTCTTGATTTTACGGAATATTAGTTGAGATTACAATACTTTCTAAAAGGATTGGGAACATTCGGAGGGAATGAAGAAGACAGCCCCAGTTCATCCCAGTTCAATCACTGTGATGACCCTTGATGTGTGCCAACGTGTGCCAAAGCTGTCAGGCTTCCACAACACAGAGTCATGGTAGCCATGCTTCATAGCAGATGTAAGTTTCCATAAAAGTTCTAGGAACCAAATCATTCGTGCGTGAGCTATCCTGCATTCATATGTAGTAGCTTCCTATTGCTAGTAGCTTACTTCTCCCTGGCGCCTGCTTAATTAAGTAAGGAGGCAGGGCTATGGGCTAAAAAGAACAAACAAAAACAACCGCCAGCTGGGATGCTCCAGGCCCTCTGTGTTACAGAACCGGTCCTGGGACGAAAGGTACTGCACTGATCCAGCTTTCTTTCAGCTTCTGGTCAAGGGCTATGAGACGCCGGAGGAGTGACAGCAATGCTTCGCCTTTAACAAGGGATGGGTTTCAAGGGAGCCAAGGATGCTTAGAACATGCCTGTTGCCTTGCTTGATCGAATTGGGTAGAAGCTTTTTTTCCATCCCTTTGGCCCTTCTTTCCCGGTACAGCTTTAGTACCATTTGGTCGGTGTTCAGTGAGGTCAACGGAGACTTTGCACCGAGACCGTGAGACCCAACTCATTTGGGGCACCGGGCACCGCCGAGCACCTGTCCCGCAATGACTGAAATCATTGCGTGGGGCAATATGTGTTTAACCGGACCACTTGGGACACTACAGTATAAAAGATGAAGACTGTAGAATATGTTGAAGAATGTTGAAGTCTCCTCTCCCATGTCGCATGCACTGCAGCTTTGGCTGTTGCGTGGCCTTTCCAGATCGCGACGCACTGTGGGATGATGCTGCGATCTTGTGTTGGGGGACCCCAGTGAGGTCCTTGTCACATTCCCTGATGGATCCATTTACTGAATCTGCAGTTTCGGAAATCCGTATTTCTTTAAGGTCACCACTCTGCCGTAGATTGGTGTTCAACGTTCGACGATGACATGCGATGGAGACCCTACTTCATGTACTGTACATGAACTTTGGATTGGGCTGTGGATCAGTCATGGTAGACATTGGCTTGTATGACTCGGATATTTTTCTTGTGCAGCAGATAAATCAATGCAGGGCTACTTGTTAGCGCTGTTTTTGCTGTCCCTGTCTTTAATTCTATTTCTGCCTGTAGTGGTCTATTTTCTTCACCACTCGTTTGAATCTCTCCCTAAGTTCATTTCATGGCCCAGGCCCGAGAAGAAAAGCTGGTTCAGGCCTTCTTGGACAAGATGGAGGCAGCTGCAGAGATGCCCGAAAAGTCGAACATGGATAAATGCAGATCAACCCAGCCACCCATTGTCCTCAAACAACAAGCTATTCTTGTGTAAATCAAACACATATCAACACCCACTGGAATCAGGTGCAGTTCTGCTCGGAGTACTCAATCATCAGCGCCTAGCGCGCAGACGCAGACCTGCCTTTTCTCGTTTCTTCCAAGCTCCGCTTCTAGAGCGAGACAATGCTGTACTTAAGCCAATCGGAGGGTCAGACAGATACTAGTACTTATATAGATGGAGGTATCGGAGTGTCAGGAATCAGGGTATGCCACTAATCATGAAGGTGTTTAGACCCAAGCACATGTGTGGGCGCCTGGGTCTGGATGCCAGGCCACGATGCCCCTGTTCGGTCCGCATGCCCTCCTGTTTTGTCATGTCCATTGCAGTTGGTGCTGAACTTGATGAAGTACACCCGCCATGAAGAGTTTGAGATTTCGCAGAGAGCTCAGTGGATGTTGATTCGTAGCCCCCTCTGTGAGCTCAAGCCCCCCCAAGAGTGATAAGTCAAGTTTCCATAAAAATCTAGGAACCAAATGAAGCTAGCGCGAGCGCTTCTTCAAGGAAGCTCCCCCCCAGCCATCTGGGTTCAAGCCCTTTGGCTTACGCCCCCTTCGGCGTGGGCCGGGGTGTTGCTGTCCGGCTGCTTGGTCGGAAGTGACACGTCTACAGACCGTTGGCTTCACCAAGCCACGGAACGCCATGGTGACGATGGACTCAGGGCATGAACATGGGAAGATTGCTGTTGAAAGTTTGTTGCAATGGGCTACCTTTGGCATGCCTTCCTCCCTGGCATCTACTGTCAGTGCTGCTTTGAGGGGCATCGCCTCGACCGGACTGTGCAGAAGCAATGATGAAGATTGGGTACTGTTTGGAGAGGTATGTGATGTTCAACATGGACCGACCATGTGTGTCCATCTCCGTCGCACTTCGATGCTCATGGCTGATGAGGTGATTCAAGCAGGTTCTTGGGACTCCTTTGACATCCTTTGTCCGGTGACCCATACAAGAGTTGATTTCTCGCCTGGTATGCTGGTGGGCGTCCTTGCTTCTCCTGCCAACCGCCTTAGTGACCACCGGATTTTGGCTGATGAGGCAGTTCCTGTCTGGAACGTATCCAGGCATGACCGAAGTTTGGCTTGGCAAGTTTCACACCTTTTTGCTGGTGCGTATGAAGGCTGGCTTCGAGCGATGTGGTGGCTTCAAAACACCAATATGGGATTCGTGTTTGCCTCTCATACCTCGGTCGACTGGTGTCCTGAAGTGATGAAGACATGGAGTTACAACCACCAGCAGGAGGTGCTTCGAGCTCCAGTGCCTGTTGACTACAATCCATTGTCCGCTTACAATGGTATTCTGGCAGATGTCAGCGATGTGACTTTGTTGAGGGCCACGGCTCACAAATCCAACTTGTTGATGACGTTGTCCCCGCCTTGTCCGAGCTGGAGCAGGGGAGGCAAACAATCAGGACTTGCTTCAGATGAGGGCTTCTGCTTTTTGGATTCTGTTGAGCACCTTTGCCGAGTCCGCCCTGTCCTTGCCATATTTGAGTGTTCTGACGGCATGGAGAATCATCCTCATTGGCGGGTGATTTCGGCCGCTATGCAATTGGCAGGCTTTCGACGTGTTTGGTCTCAGGACGTGGCAATCCACCAGATCACCAGCAACTATCGCACAAGGTGGTTGGCGGTCTGGTGTCGAAGTGACGTTGAATCCAAGAAGATCGGTGAACGCCTCCAGCTTTCATCTCATCGGAGGTTGTCGTGGGATGCTTCGCTTACCGAGGCCCTTAAGTTGACTGCTGACCAGATGCAGATTTACGGGGACAGAAACCTGCTCCCACCAGGTAAGAAAGCTAGAATTGTCGAAAGGGCCTCCGCCCATCAGGTTTTGATGCAGAGGGTACTTCCAACCGGTGAGTACCTGCCCACCCTTTGTGCTTCGTACACGGCACAACACCTGTTGCAGTTCGAGCATGTTCAAGCTAAAGGGATTTTTGCCACTCTCACGAGCTGGCAGGACGAGTTTAGTTTTGTTGACCCCTTTCTTTTTGCATCCTTGTTTGGCACGACCGCTACGCTTGCTCTGCCTGCTGACCTCCGAAAGGCCTTTCATCAGTTGGGGAACGCTATTTCTCAGCTTCATGCTTTGGCTGGTATTCTTGTGGCAATGGAAGGAGTCTCTGGAGAGGTTATTCCTAAGCTGGCTCTCATTCAGCAATGCTGGAACGATCGACTTACAAATGAGAATGCCATGGTTCGCTGTTGCAACGGGATGTATGTTCTGCAACCTCTCGCGGATATGGTGGCAAAGGCTATCCCCAGTGTTGCTACATGGCAACCTTGGCTGGTTGGGAGCACTTTGATCAGGTTTTGTGATGACATGACGCTTGTGCCGATTGATCAACCTGACGATGAAGCTGCCCTCCAGGCCTTGCTCAGAGCACTGGAACTTGATGGTCATCTCCTCTACTTGATCAAGCTGGTGCATGACGGATCGGTTGTCCCTACAGCATGTGCTTGTACTCAACTCCCCGCCGGCACGTTGATGTTGAAGTGTGGTGCCTTCCAGATTGGATCGTTGCAGATCACCCATCTTGGCTCTGCCCCTGTGACTGATGATCCGATCCTCTCACCGACTCAACCCTGGTGTGAGCATGAACATGATCCTGAATTCGATGGTATTGTCGATGCAGCAAGGGCAGGGTTCCTTCATGTTGCTGAGTACGTTTGCCAGGATGAGATGCCTCGATCCAGTGCGAAGATACTTTTCTTGCTACAGGACGGCACCTTTTATTGGATTCAGCAGGCAAATGTCGAACGTCTTGGGAGTATTCCTGGATTTCGGTATCAAGATGGGGCGATGTATTTCATCAAAGCCAACTCGGAAGCGTGCAGAACCCTCATTGGGTTCCCAGTGGTGATGGGTATTCAAGGGGTTTACGAACCTGTCTGCCCTGCCAAGTGGGTGATCTTGGGTGGTGGTCGTGATGCCAAGTGGTTGAAAATCTGTCAAGTTCCGCGTACTGTGTCTCCTCGGCAGTGTGCATCACTCTTGCAGCAGCAATGCACTATCACTATCAGGAACTCAGTGCCCTGTTGCTTGGACCAACCTCTCATGCTCATCAATGGCGATGTCTTGTGGGGTGATGATCGACCAGGTGGTGCTACATCTGTTGTTCTTGGAGGTATGGACCATCTCACGACGAATCCTAGCTGCAATGTCCTTGAGGACCCAACCATGGCTAGGTTGCTGCAGCTCAACCTTGAGCCCGGAGCCCTGGCTATCGATGAAATGCTCTTTCATTGTGATATTTTGCAAGTTCTGATGCCTACAATTTGCTGGTGCCCACCTGCACTTTGGGTAAGCAATGAAGCTCAGTTCCGGTTTCCTGTTGAACCTGCGGATCTTCAGCTTTGTTTCCAACATTTTATGGTACCAATTCTTGTGGTCTTTGATTGGATCTTTGTCGAAGCCCGTTTCTTTGAAGGCCAGTGGAGAATCTTGTACCATTCCTCTGAACAGTTGACTCAGCGGCAACGCACAGCAGTGCTGGAATTGATCAATGTCATGGGAATCCAAGTTCCACCCAACAACTTCAGGTGGATCCGTACTGCTGAGGACTCAGAACTTGCGCCGTGGTACACACTCAGGACCTTCTACGCCCGAGCAGGTGCGCCTTTGCTTCCTGCAACACATCGGACTACACAAAGATTGCAGAGGGCCCAATATTGTGAGCATGTCATGCAGGCCATTGATCAAGCTGACTTCATTTGGCGTGATACTCAAACAGATGACCGCATGCTGCAATTTGCTCGTGCCAGTCGTAATGCCTTTTTGGTTGCTATCCTGGAATCCCCCAGCAGGGCTGCAGACTTGACCCTTCGATCGACAGGGAGACCCATGCATGTTTACAACATCAATGAGATCTTCTTTGTTGCTGATGAATGGTTGGACATGCGGGCCAACATCTATCGCACTCACCCTGGGTGGGCCACCAGTGATGAGATTGAGTTTACGCTTTCCTTTTTCATGCCGGAGTCTTTCTGCCCTCCAGTTCTACACCATGACTTGTCTGTCATTGCTGCTGGAGTCAAACCTATGTCCGATGAAGTGCAACGATTTGTCGCTCTTCGTCAAGGGCATTGGGTCGGTATTGAAGTTGTGTGCAATGCAAGGGAACACACCTGCAGGGTTGTCTTTCTCCAAGTTCCAGTTCGTGACCAACAATTCTGGATTGACTTTGCTAATGATTTTGTCGTTCCCTTTGGGTTCCGACCCATCATCATTGTCGACACCACCAGGACAAGACCCGGAATGTGCGGTTGGGAGCTCCTCCATCGGTGGGTGGTTGCGGATCTCACAGTCCCAGCTGACTTTCATATACCGCAACAGAAAAGGCAGGTGGTTGATCTTATCCTTGGTGAATCTGACATTGCCTGGAGAGTTGCTGGTGCGCCACCAATGTTGAGGACCTTTGCTGACAATGTGCGTCGAACCTTCCTGCTGGTTGGAGGTTTGCAGGTTATGCAAACCTGCTCTGCTGTCTCCCTTGGTGGTATGGAAGCCTTGGCCCAAACCGATGCCGCAATGCAGGCTCCTGATCCGTGGCAACTTGATGACCCGTGGAAGTCAAAGAAAAAGCAAACCAAGCAGAGCAAGTGGGAGGACCTACAGCTGCAATCGGACCACCCCTTTGTAGCCAAAGACAAGACACCTGTGCCCTTTGTGCAGAAGCAGCAATTGTCCACCAACCGAGGTGGTATTGCCTTTGTCTCCAAAGGCAACATACAGCAGATCATGGAAGTCAAACCCAAAGAGGCGTGCGCCCTCCTATTGCCGCTCATTGATCCCACCGACTCGCTGGCCAAATTGCCCAACCTGTCTGGGCCTTTCGAAGTCATTGTCTTTGACCCTGCATTGAACCAAGAATATAAGCGACAGGTGCATTTGCTTGTTGTCACTCCCGATGTCCACTTTTCGCTGCCGACCCCTTCCATTACTCTCACGTTGGCTGCAGTTTGTGAATTGGTCTTGGAGTGTGACGCACGGCTGACAACCAAAGACACCTTCCAGTCCTTCTATGACAACCCCTTGAGCAAATTCAAGGCAATGCTGAAAGATGTCTGTTCAGACCCTATTTGGGGGCATGCGGCCATCTATGGGTACAGAGTTGTGCAAGAGCATGCAAAGGACAAGCACGATGTGGTCCATCAATGCCTCCTCAAAGTGCAGCAGAAGCATCGCATCACCTTGTTGGCGGCCAGTGGCAACGGTGACCTCATGGTCAGGGATTTCATTCCAAAAGGAGAGCAAGTGGAGGATTTGTCCATTATTCCGCGCTTCTGGCCAATTGACCGTGCTAGCAAAGCTGACCTCATCAAGGCGGCCTCCTCTATCACCGGTTACCGGGGCATTGCCGTCACCAAACGGGGTCTT